TACTAATATACACCCCCGCCCCCACCCGGCCGGCGGCCAACCCAGAACCATGCCGACTTCATGCGGGGCCGACCCCCAGCATCCCTGTTAAAAATAATGCAAGCCGCACTCTGCCGCCACATTTGGAGCATGCGCGGCCAACCTGATGCGGCCCCCCCTACCATCCCTATCAAAAAACAATGCAAAGTACACTTTGGGGGAAAATCTTGAGTCATGTTCGTGAGGCCCGCGAGCACTTTGTGTTGCGTTTTGACAGGGACGGCGGAGGTGTCAGCATATTCCCTGCTGTGCGCAGGGCTACGATCCCTGACAAAGAACCATACAAAAGTCATGCACCTCGCGGCTAAATCTGGATCATGCGCGGCCATCCCGCGATCACTGTCAAGTGGTTTTTGACGGAGACGGCGGGGGTGGTGGCGCGTGGCCCGCTGTGTGCAGGCCCACCAGACACAATGATGGGCATTGGTTTTCGACAGGATGGTGGGGGCCGACATGTTTCCCGATATGTGCTGTCACGTGCGCAGGCGCAGCTGACGCACTCTGCACGTGCCCCGAACGTGGCGCACCTGGCGCGGTTGGAGTGTGCGGCACACCTGGCGCACTCGGAGCACGTGGAGCATCTGGCGCACCAGGCGTGCCTAACACGCTCGGGCCCCAGGGTGCCTGGCGCGCGTGGCGCCCCTGGCACGCGTGGCGCACCATGCTCAAGCGTCGCGCACCTGGGGTCGGCGTTGGTCCCCAGTAGTTGTCAATCCAAAGAAGACCGCTGAACATGCTCAGGCCGGGGTGTTACCTATGTGTTGGGAGGGCGGGTGGGAGTAAGCTAGACGGCTTGCGAGCGGGTGGGTAGCTTGACCCCTCCCCCATCCCCCCTCCCCTGGACCTGGACGGGGGGTCCCCCGAGGGGTTGGGGCGTCCAAGATGGCCCAAGATGGCTCCAAAAACGCCTCGGAGAGCCCAAGATGAGCTCCAAGATCGTTCAAGATATCCCAAGATGTCTCCAGATGGCTCCCACGATGCTCCAAGAGGCCTCAAAACCGTTCCAAGACAGCTCAAAATGGGCAAACAGCTCACAAAAAAAAAAAACGAAGTGGCAAACATCCTTCCAAAACCTTTGGGGAACCAATGTGGTTTGCTTTCTCGCTGCTTCACTTCCGCTGGCCATCCGAAGCCTCAAGATGGCTCCAAGATGGCCCAAGGGGGCCCCGGGAGAGACCCAAGAGCGCTCCAAGAGCGCCCCAAGGGGCAACTGCTGGGGCTCCCAAGAGGGGGGGCGGCAATTGGGCAACCACTCTTTTTTGATCAATGTTCTCCAAGATGGCCCCAAGAGGCGCCCAAGAGGCCTCCAAGAGGCTCCCAACAAGCCCCCAAGAGGCCTCAAGAGGATCTCCGAGGCACCCAACACATTCAAAGAAACCTTTGGGTTCGCCAAGATGCTCCTCCTCCTCCTTGTCCACTGTCTCTTCCTCTTTTTTCTTCATCGCTTTCCTCCTTCACCTCCACCATCCTCCCCCTCTTGGGGTATCGGACGGTTTTCCTCGGCATCTGTTCTGCTGCATGCTCCCCCACTTCCCAGCTCCCCTCAACTCTCCTGGGCATTGGTTCTGGATGGGCTGGTGGAGATTTTCTTCGTCGCGGCCACAGGCGAAGGCGCCAGTAGCAGAAGCAGAGTTGGCTCGGGCTGCGACCGAACCTAACTGCCGGCGTGCGCGCCGAGCTAGGCAGGACCTACCGCCGGGGGAAGCCACTGCGTTGGGGCTGAGCTGCGCCGAGGGCGGGGGCGGCAAGCTGCAGGGGTTGCCACGAAGCTCCAAACGTGCGAATACCATGGGAGCTGAATCACCAAGTACGTGAATTGGACCTTGTCGCCACAGGGCGCCAGAGGTCAGGGCAGCGGACCGAGCTGGTGGGGATACTTGTTTGATTGCGAGTGACGCGGAATCAGCAGCGCACCGTCGGGAAAAGTCGATCGAAGTGCTAAGCCGCGCAAGTGCAAAACAGCGGAAAAAAGACGGGCCACTACGCAGCCAGCGCGAGAGGGACGAAAACAAAACGAAACGCACAAGACCGAGGAGGAAGAAGACAAAACAGAAATACATAATGCAAGCCGCAGCTCAAACTCATACCAAGTAGTAGACGACCACCCCTTGTTGAACTGCCACTACATGTAAAAGAACACGGCATACCCAAACCAATGCGCTGAGATGGAAAGCCGCGAGAGGCGCGAGACCACAGAATGACCACCGGCGACGGAGAGGAGCGTTAGCGTCAGGACTTTCAGACAACCGTCAATCAGGCCATCTCCAGGGCCAGCGTAGTCTGACAGCAAGGACGTCACATTCCACGAGCCCCGGGAGGAGCAAGAGGGAGCGAACCCGACCGAATAATCTGGTCGGGATACTTTTTGTCGCAACCGCAAGCAAAAGCGCAGGCGGCGAGTAACGGAACGGGCGGGCCGCGCGCGAATTTAATTGCCTAACGCGCCAGCGAACAGAGCCTAGGCGGCACCTTAGATCACTGGAAGCGGAAGGGGGGTGAGGGCTGCAGCTGCCAGGAACCAGGTCCAGGAGCGCGCACCCTGGTGGGGATACGCGAGGCGTCAACAATTTCAACGATGGAGCACAACTCGCTTTCAAAACTAAGCTCGCGCCCTACCGCCGTACACTTCCACCACAAAAGTTAACACCATCCAGGGGTGGAGTGCGGTATTCGAGATGTGCCTCCCGCCTTAGCGCCGCGCGCAGTCGTCTTAAAACAATGCAATTGTTTCAGGGATGGGGGGGCATCGTCTTCAAGATGGTGCTCTCGCTCTAGCGCCGCGCACATACTGTCTCCATAACTTGCATCAAACTCCAGAATGGATGGGCGTTCCTGCTCAGAACGTGGCTCTCGCACGCCGCGCCTACTCGTCTGCACCATTCGCAGCGGCCTCAAGGACGGACGCGGCTCCACTTCCCCAGACGAAGCCGTCGCCTTCGCGCCGCGCACGCTCGCCTTGCACCTCCGCGACCACTCCAAGGACGGAGAGTCGTTCCCAAAATGGCAATCTCGCCTGTGCACCGCGCGCGTTCGTTGGGCAAGCCTGCGACAGCGTCAAGGATAGAGGGCGTTCTCTTATCAGGATGGGATCTCGCCTTGGCGTCGCGCACATGCGTCTCAAACTGTAACAGCCGTTACAGGCATTGAGCACATGCCGCTTCAGAATGAGGCCACGTTTGCGCTGCGCGCATTCGTCGGTCATGCAACATTCAGAAGGATAGAGGACTGCTACTTTCCAGATGGGGTTATCCCTCTGGACTTCGTTGGTTTTCAAAGCCAAAGCTTCAACACATATAACAGAACGCGGATGCAGCGCGGCTTTTTTCCAAAATGGTACTATCGCTTATAACCTCCTCGAACAGCGCGACAACAAGTTCAGATTTGTGCAACAAATAACTAGAAGGTTGGGGGCGGTCCTTCTTCGAAAAGGTGCTACCGCTGGACACATCGCTAAACCGTATGAGCCTATTGCTTACGTGTCTGATTGTGCGCCAGAAGGATGCACGCTTGTTTGTTTTCACTCCAAAGCCCTCGCCAAAATTGCAGACCCACCCGTGCTGGTCTTCTGAAAAGGGGACGCTCCGAGTGGTGAAACGGAAAGCTTGGAAGGACGTGTGAGGAGAGGATTTGGGACTGGCGCGTGCGTTGCAGCATCGCTGATGCATCTTCGGTTTTTTGTGGTCCTCCTCGTTGTCCTCCTGCGTCTCCTCCTCCTCAGTTTTCCTCCTCCTCCTCCTCCTTCTGGTCCTCCTCCTGCTCCTCCTCCTTCTTCTCCTGGTCCTCCTCATTCCTTGTCCTTGTGAATAACTCCTCCTTGTCGCACCTCAAGGCCATTCGGAAGGGTGGGCCGGGCGTTTCCCCTGAGACTTCCTTACCGCTTATGAGCCTGCAGCTTAACATCTGGAACATGTCTCACGAATGGAAGGCGGGCGGTTTTCAAAATGTGGCTCTCGCCTTAGCGCCGCGCACATTCGTCTTACACAAACGCAAGAGCTTCACGGATTGAGGGCGGGTGGTTTTCAAAATGTGCCTCTCGCCTTAGCGCCGCGCACATTCGCGTTAAACATTGGCAAGAGATTCACGAATTGAAGGCGGGTGGTTTTCAAAATGTGGCTCTCGCCAAATCGCCGCGCATATTTTTCTGTTAAACAACATGTGCAAGACCTTCACACAATTGAGGCGGTTCCTTGTCAAAACGTGGCTCTAGCCTTAGCATCGCGTGCAGTAATTTTCAAACATCGCAATAGCTTCACGGACTGAGAGCGGGTGGTTTTCAAAATGTGGCTCTCGCCTTAGCGCGCCGCACGTTCGTCTTGCAAACTTGCACGAGTTCCACGACTTGAGGGCGGTTCCTTTTCAAAATGTGGCTCTGGCCAAAGCGCCGCGCACACGTGTTCCAAAACATTGTGAGAGTTTCGCTGGTTCTCATGTTTAGCGTACCAGAAACTGCATACTGAAACGATTCTTGATTGTCAGGGCGCAGCAGTTACGTTGATTCGCGGTGCTAAAGTCCCAAGACTGTTTTTTTTTCCGGCGCGATTCAGCATCGCCAAGACGCAACCGTCAGGTTGACTCGTTGGGTTGAAGTCCTGAGAATGGTGTTTTCGCACGCTTCAGGATTTTCACGCGGTTGTCCACCAACAGGGAAGTTCCATCAGTGGAAATGAACCCTTGTAGGGGCCAGTGAAGAGGGAGCTTGGAGGGAGAGTGTATTCCAACATCATTAACGAGTCGTGGGTTTACACAGGTCCTCCTCCTGCTCCTCGTTCTCGTCCTCTTTCTCGCCCTTCTTCACCTCCTCGTCCTCCTCCTCATGTTCCTCATGTTGCTCATTCCTCCTTCCTCCCCTTCCTCCTCCTCCTTCTCCTCCTCCTCCTCCTTCATTTCTCCTCAACACCCCTCCTCCTCCTCCTCCTCCTCCTCCTCCTCCTCTTCCATCGTTTTTTGTTGTTGCCGTGGGCCTCGCACTGCTGGTCATCGAAGACCCGAACCTCCTGCCCAAGAGGCCGCCGGCGCAAGCTGCCAGGCAAGGACGACGACAACGACGAGGGGAAGGTGGAAGAGAGGGAGGAGAACGAGAGGAGGAACAAGGGGCGCTGGCGCTGCACTCGAAGAAATGCCGGGTATACTCAAAAATTCTGCACGGACGCCAAGTAAGCAAGCACAGTGCAGCGAACAGTGAAAGACATATTCGGGCGGTCCTTGGTTGTTTCTTTACGCCGTGTCCCTGACCGGCGCACGAGACAGGTGTCAATACTCAATCATGCGTCTCATGCCTGGGGGAAAGGTATCTTCGGCCCCAAAAGGGCACGCACACGAGACGGCGGAGGCAACAAAGCACCCATCTTCGCGCCAACACCAAAGTGAATTAGAGGGCACCCGCACAGCTCTGTCGCTCCTCGTGGCAAACAACGCAATACATGACTGCTGCGCCGACAATGTGATCCACGAGTGTGCGCGGTCATCTGTACCCGATACAAGGCGAAGAGGTCTCTGGCCCCACGCTGGCACGAGCGACGGACGACGTAGGACACAACAACACCGATACCTGCACGCCAGGCGCATCGACCACAGGAGTCGCATGCATCAACTGGGCGGAGGCACGCGGGCGATGGGACCAGAACCTGCGGGCACGCGAGCGAAAGCCCCCCGTCAGAGGGGGGCCTCGCACATGTGGTGCGAACTGGGTGTACCAATACACCCTGGCTGGGTATCACGTGGGCCCCTGGCAGCATAGGACTACGTACTCTCAGTACTCTCCCTCCCTCCGTTTTGGGCGGACGCTGGCGGGCCATGGAATCTGCACACGAGGATCCGCATGAGGCGGCACGGCAGAGAGAAAGACAGAGGCGGAGACAGCGCAGCGTAACAGAGACAGGAGGATGAAGGAGTGAAGATGAGGAGGGGGGATGAGGAGGACTAAGGGGACGGCGACGACGACGGCGGGAGGGAGGGGGAGGAGAGGACAGGAAAGGGCAGGAGAGCGAGAGGGGGGGGGGGGGCGGAGGAGCTCAGAGGGAAGATCTCGATCCCAGCCCTCCCTGCCAAGCCACATCAAAACAAACCACGCATACACGCTCGTGCGCAAGCTCCAGCCCCTTGGCCGATTTCAACTTCCTCAGTTTCATCTGAGAAGGGGGCTCACCACCAGGCCTGCATTTCCCTACATGCTGAAATATCACACAGAAGCCGATACGTGTCGTGGTCGGTAGGACGCGCTTGGGGTGGGGGGCACCCCTAGCCAAACCGTGTACGAGCGTGCGCGACACGTGCTCGCAACACTACATAACACTCAGCATAAACGACAAGCGTAAACACATGTACGCACTTACGACTTACTGGATAATTCATGCTATGAAAGGTATAGATGGCCTCCGTTGGGGCCTCATTTGCTTTCATCAGGACCCAACCCAATCCGAATCAACCCGAGCACTCCCTGCATGCGCCTACGCCTTGAGATGCCAACTCATTAGCATCCGTTGGAAGTCACAACTGCTGGCGGTCAGGAGGGAGAGGTGGAGGATGATGAGGAGTAAGAGGAAGATGATGAACAGAAAGAGATGGAGGAGGAGGAGGAGGAAGAGGATAGAATAGAAAGAGATGGAGGATATGGAGGAGATGGTGGAGGAGGAGCCCACGCCTCGGAGGGGGGGCGCGGTCTGTCAGCCGCCCGCGCCTAGCCCCCAGCGCCGGCGCGCGTGCCGACGGCCAGCTCAGTGACGTTGAAGCCGCCGACCACGTCCAGGGCGGCAGCGACGGTCTCGCCGTCAAGATGATCTTCCCCAGGTGGTAGATCACCAGCAGAATCAGGCACAGGGCGGACAGGAGCAGGCTCAGGCTGCGAGCCATGCTGTCCTTGACCCGCAGGAAGTACACCAGCCGAAGTCTCCTCATCCATAGTGTCGGCGGTGAGCTGCGCAGCCATAAGTAGATTGAAAGCATCTTGATCTTCATCAGCCTCTCCGACTTCATCCTCAACGTCGTGCATGCTGCAAGCGTCCACGTCAGGCACTTCCATACTTTCAGCTTCGACCTGTGCCATCATGAGCTCGTCCACGCCCACCACTCCATCGTCGACGAACGCGGCCTCGGTACCGAGTACAGGAAGAGCGGGATCGTCCTCAGCGTCGCCTTCCAAACGAGAGCCTGGGTTGTGCAACATCCAGATCACAAGCACGTGCTGCCCTGCAGAAAGTTGGTAATTTTCATTCAGATATCGAATAGCAACCACAATCTGAACAGGCGATAGAGCATCTCCATGTTCCGCAGAGGGAGAAGAACCCCCTTGCGCCACTGTGATCGCAGACCGAACTAGAGCACTGACAGTTTGGAGCGCGCGCAGTTGTAGCATAGCTTGACGTTCCTCATCGCCGTCACGATGAGATGGTGCACCAGATCCTTCATCAAGGGCGCTCCCCGCGAAGCCCACATCCTGCGGGGCAGGCATGGGCGGCGGCGACGTTGAAGCAGCCGCAGGTGAAGACGAGACAGCGGAAGGCCGAAGTGCCCCCCCGAGGGAGCCGTCTGGGTAGATAACGCCAAACCCAGAGGTAGCCATCGTTTGATTGAAATCATCATCAGAGCTATCATTGGCAGCCACTGGCGAGGAAGGGCGCGCAGGTGAAGTCCTGGGGGGGGGGGGGGGGGGGGCGTCGCCGAAGCCGCAAGAGGTGCCGACGAAGAGGCCGCCTGATAGAACTCATCGTCAGAGCTAGCATCGGCAGCCACTGGCGAAGAAGGGCGCGACGGTGACGTCCGAGTTGGGAGAGCCGCCGCCGAAGCCGCAGGCGGAGCCGACGAAGAGGCCGCAGCATCACCGCCTTGATCACGCCAGAGGGGCCCCCGAGACCTGCGCAAGATCAGCTGTCCTTGCGCTTCAAACCCTTCGTCGGTGAGGATGGGGCCGAAGTGATGCGAGAACTCTCCAGCATCCATTGTCTCATTCTTGTACTCGAGCGGTGGGAAATCACCAGGCACGGGCGCCGCCGTGACAGTGGCAGTCTCGACCATACTCTCGATGTCCTCGTCGGTTGGGATTGGGCAGCCGTTCGCATCAATGCTACCGTTGTCTTCGTCAGGAAGATGGGCAGAGGCAGCTGCAGACGCTGCATCCAGCAGGGCTTGCTCGTGAAGGTGTGGAAGCAGGAGCAATTCAGGCGCCGCAGCCTTCGCAGGGCCAAGAAAGAAAGCACGGCGAACTAGCTGAAAATTCTCGCGCCCTTCTGGTGGCATCCTCGTGACATCAGGGCACCAATCCAACTGCCTCAGGTGCGCCAACCCCTGGCGCCGTAGCGCTGCAAGACGGCGCCGCTCATTGGGCGGCCACGGGTCGCTGAGCTGTTTACGGAACCGCTCCCTCGGTATAACGCCTTGGTACCACCCATGCAAGCAAAGATCAATGGCAAGCTCCCGACGCTTCGCACCGTCCGTCGTCGCGTTGGCAAGGCATTGCAGAATGTCTTTGACGCCGCCAGATCTCAACGTGTCCGCCGTGTAAGGAACACACCATTCCATCCACTGCTGAAAGTCGCTGCCGCTGGTACTGACAAGCAAACTAGGGACCCATCTCTGCGACCACAACCCAATGCGATCCAGGAGAGCCGTATATTGAGGGTGTCCAGGGAAGCGTGGAGGAAGAGGGTCACCTCCTGCAGCGCTGACAAGAAACCAATCGCCGTCACATTCTGCGCGATTGCCACCTCCGCACTCCCGAAGGGCCACAAGCTGAGGGCGACCAGGGAAGCGCGGAGGGAGGGGGGCACCTCCCGCAGCACCAGCGAGTGGCCGAGCGCCGACACGACCCGAGCGAAAGCCGTAGCCGCTTTCCGCCTCCCAGATATCAACAGCCAACTCCTCAGCACGAAGGCGCAAGTCCTCGGCAACAAGCGAGCCATAGTCTCGCAGCTCAGGAAGAAGGGGCCGAGATTCAGGTCGAAGGAGTTGGATCAATTCTTCGATGCCAAGCGTACCCACAGCAAACGACGCCAAACTATGGGGCCACCAGCGGAGCTCCATGAGACTTTGGGCCCGCCCATGTGCCACCTTGGGCCAGCTGCTCGCGTGCGATTGCTGTAGTTCTGTGCAGTGCTCGACAAGCCTGAGACGACCAGCACGTGAATTGTGCCATTCCACATGAGCCACGCTTGAAGCCAGCGCAGTTCGTTCTTCCAAGGCAGCAGAGGGCTCGCTGAACAGTCCCACGAAGCGCTTGTCGCGGAAGACGATGCACAATAAGTCCGTTGCCCACTTCATCCAGTCTTCGAAGTCTGTCAGACCAGTAGCCACGAAGAAGAACGATCACAGCCAATTGCGCGCCCACGATTGCACCAAAGAGCCTAATTCAGCCATCCGCGCACACATGATGGGACCGCTCCCACTCGGCTGTAAGATAGAGAATTTAGCTTCACCCCAGGCTGGCGGAAAGCGAACACGCCCAGGTAGACAATCGTGTAGTGAGTGAAGACCACGTGGCAAATCGACCAAGAGTAGGGGGGGCCACTGGACAACTGGGGATGGCGGTTCTGGAGGTCCCGTCGTACCCAGTTGCTGCCGCGGACGAAAGTGGGTCCGAGTCCGCCCAGCCTTCGGGCACGCCAAGGCTCGAACACGAACAGCACCCCGCGCTGTATGGAGAAGACGCTCAGGGCCGACGTAATCCAGATGCCGCACTTCGTGGTAGATGATGGTGGCGAGCTGCAGGTTCATCAGATCGTCGTCATATGCACAGCGGATGCCCCACCGATCCAGAATGTTGCAAGGCAGTTCGATGCGGCCACCCGACCTCGCCATGGCAATGCCCCACGCGAGACCGCGACACGCAAGATAATGGCTAATCTCATCTGAGCAGCCTTCGCAACCAAAGATGCATTATCGAGGCCCAGACGGTGACGAAATCCCCGACGACGTGAGCCAGCCCCCGCACAGGCCGCGCAGCAGCGCTGACGCCCAGGCCGTGGGGTAGGTGGCCATCTTGTCTTGCAAACATTTCCAGTCGATCTGTGTGAGATCACCCACGAGGGAAGGAAACCATTTGGACCACCGTTTGACAATCGTGACCACCAACGGCGAGTCAGTGTTGTACTTGATGATCAGAAACGGCCGCATCATGTCCTTAAGTAGCGCCGACTAGGCGGCACGTTGGACAGCATGACGAGCTTCAGGGAAATATGTTAGGAGTGTGCGCGCCGCATCAGCACCCGAAGAAGCCGTGCGTTGCGAGGCCAAGGCCAAGTGTTACACATAGGCTGGCTGATCCCAGAAATGAGGAGATAGAAGATTTCGGAGATCGGCAAGAACTCGGAAAGGGGCCCAGCGTTCGGCGGCCACTTGAAGACGATGGAGGTAACGAACGTGATCAGGATGAGAGGTGAGCGCCGACCGAATAAGCGCCGAGCCACACATAGGACCAAGAGCACGAAGTTTGGGGCCACCCCACTGGCCAAGACAATGAAAACCCACATACCGAAGGGCGCTTCCAGGCAACCGCAGAAGCCGCACCAGGTTGTGAATATCCTGTTGCAGTAGCTGCTTGGGAAGCGGTGCGAACTGTGCCACGTAGGGCAGCGTGGGTAGCGCTCTGGCCGCGTAGTTGATTGCATTCAAAGAAGCAGGCGCAGCCGATGAAGAAAGTGCCGAGATACGAGATCTGCATTTATCCCACGGGCACAGCCAAGAGCATAAATCGGCAACGGCGGGTCCCAACCACATGCCCAGGTAGAGTAGCTTCGCTTCGATGCGAAAGGCACGCCAGTGAGGCACCAGTTGTTCAAGCCCAAGTCGCAATCCATCCCTCAGATCGCCACCAAACGCCCCCGCAAGCGGGACGATAACGCACTCCGGTGGCTTGAGCTTAAGGTTGGCATTTTTTCAGCCACCGCCATGACCCGTGCCAAGGAACGCAGGTCCACCAAGGCGAATAACGCCCCACCGGTATCATCAGCGCATGCACGAAAGAGACCACGATGTTTGAGCTCCAACCCAATCCGAATATCTTCAAGAAACGGCGATGTGGCTGCCGCGAACAAGCTACCAGACAACGCGCAACCTTGGATGATGCCGCACTCAATAGCGAAGAGGCCCGTAGTAATCCCACCGAGCCGCCCCACAGCCGTGACAGACGCATACAGCGAGCAACAGGCAGAGAAGAGAGCCTCAGGAAGGCGACGCCGTTTGAGCACCGTGAAGAGGCATTGCTGGCTCAAGCTGGGGAACGCCTGGCCGAAGTCGAGCGCCACCAAGATCGGCTGCTGATCCCTCGCTCGAGGATGAAGGGACGCAATCCTCGCCATAACGTCGAGCTCAAGAATGTTCGAAGTGAACTGCCTGCCCGCGATAAACCGACGCTGCGACCTTGAAGTAGTTTGCTGTGCGATCGGCAAGAAAGCCACATTGAGCGTCGCGGAGATGACCTTCATATCAGTATTGCGGAGGCCGAGAGTACGCACAGTGTCAGGGGGGCCAACGACACCACGCTCGCCATCGTCTCCAGCATGACAACCTTTGGGAAGAAATGCCTGCAGCGTCGCTCCCGCTGACGGGAAGAGCGTCTGGCCATCCACCATCCAGCGACAAGCCTGCCATAGGACCTCAACTCCATGCTCGCGTGCTGCCCATGCTACGTAGGGGAGGCCGTCCACTCCAGGAGCAGAGCGTGAGGGTGCCATACGCCTCAAGGTACGCTGAAGCACCTGGCGCGACGGCGGGGGCAAATCATCGAATACGCACGGTTTGACAAACCTCTGGGCGCACCTCACAGCATGCACAGGGTATGCAGGAGGGCGAGCAGACACTGGTGCCCAATAGCTGACCAATGCGTTCAACTTCTCGGCAGGATCAGAAAGCTGCTGGTCGCCCACCTGAATGGCGCGCAACGCGAGCCGCTTGCCGAAGGGGGCCCAAAGCTTGGCTTTCCTTTGAACTGCAGAAAGCGTGCCAGGAGAGACCTTAGCGCGTCCTTTCCCATGAAGCGCACCCTGTTGGAGAACTGCAAGTTGTTGCTCAGCTGCTCGATGTTGAATGGTAACCACCCAAGTTTGAAACGCCGAGGGGTGAACCAACTGAACCAGTCCCCCGGGGGTGATGTTGACGCAGCTATCGCAGACCTCGGGCGAGTTGGCAACCTTCTGAGCCAGACGCGCATCCTGCCGCCAAATAGCACGCGCAGCTTGCCGTGCGAAAATCAGTTGGGCTTCAGGTTTGTCGATGTCGGTAACCAGTATTTGTTGGAGCGTATCATATGCTGCTGAGTCTATAAGCACCTTGTACCTCTCAATCTGCCGAGGTGGAGACACATCTGTGAAGAACCGACCATCTTGGCGCAGAAGCTTGTCGAGTCGGACACGAAAGTCATCACGAAGATAAGCAAAACGCGGAACAGGGCGCCGATAGGTATCATCAAGAGAGCGATGCTGAAGATGGACCCGAAGGGCAGCATGATCCGAAATATGTTGCTCGCTGAGACGCTCAGGAGATGAAACAACCGCTGTGGAGTGATGAAGTTGGCAGGCGACCCATCCAGGCTCGGATAACCAAAGACGATCCAGCTGAGCTACTGTATGAGAGCCCTTGCAATAATGCGTAGGGTCTTCCGCCGACATCTCAATCATCTTGTCCAGCGCCACCATCCAACTCTTCATGTGCGTGCGATTGTTGTTGGTCGGGCGAGTCGATCGCTTCAGGCTCGGCTGAGCAAGATGCAGTGGCTCCGATGCTGCAAAGTTGAAATCACCACAGACTACCACCAATCTTGGCTGAGGGTCAGCTTGTGCCCACTCTAAATCTGTTGAGATGAGAGAAGATATACGCTGAACATCGTCATGGTGAAGGTCATGGTTGCGCACGTTGCAATGGCGAATCTCAGCTTGCGATCCAACCAGCCACGTCTTGAGCACCCGACCTGGAACCAGAGCGAGATGAGGACGCTGCCATCGAGATAGCAGAAAGCGGCACCACCGTCGCCGCGCCGCCTCGCGCATGGCCGCAAGCGTCAGCGTCGAACGAACCGAAGACAGCAAGCGCTGGAGCGATCCGCCGCAAGAAGAAACGAAGCTCGTCCAACGACTGATGAACCTCCTGTAAGGCGAACACAGAGGACGAAACCCCTGCTAACTGTAAGTAAGCCGCTTTAGACATCGCTTGCATGCCTCGCCAACGAAGAAGCGCGCGAGCGTTCCACGTGACAAAGGACAGTTCAGAGCACTTTAGAGGGATACTGCCAGTGGCCTGATGCAGAAAGATGTCGTCGAACATGCTAGAGAGACCACTCTGGCGCCACCGTCGGCGCAGCGATAGGATCAAGGAGGCGACGTAGCTCTGCACGTGACCATTGCCTTGCAGTGGTCGCCGCATCATGCCAGAAGATCTTCGTGGGGTCGCGACCAGGTTGCGGTTCGATCCTGACAATTGGGTTCCAACTCTCTGTGATCCACCCATTTTGACGATCGAAGTAGCATTTTGCGTCCTCGAACTCATCGCGAAGTGCCGCAACCATTCTTCTTCCTGTGATCTCCATATTGATCTGAAACGGATTCTTGTCGGGGCCGATATGCAGTTGGGTGCTGCCCCCGCTAGCTGCGGGGATGGGGAAGCGCATCCGTTGGCCTTTACCAGGTAGACGACGAGCAGATAACGCGGCAGTAACCTTCTTTCCCGCAATACCCACTGCCCCATTGAACTGGATCGTGAAGAACTTGTCTTGGTCGTCGCCCAGAAAGGTGAAGCCGTCAATGCTTGCGCCTTTGAGCCATTTATCCACCGAGCTCTGAACGTCACACTTCTTGACGAGAGTAGGGGCAACGACCTTGAGAATCGTACCATCCACCGCACGATTGAACCCAGGTGTTGGCTTAGGCGGTGGTGGGGACCGATTTGCGACCGCCAACTCTTTGCGGAGCTCGTCAACCAGGGACTTGAGCTGCTCCATGTCAGTGGCCAGCGTCTCTGTGCGGGTGTCAATGTCACGGACCTGCGATTGGATGGTGTCGATCTGCAACTGTAGTCGTCTCTGCATGGCCGCGAGCTCGGGACGTATTGCGCCTCCAGCTGGGACTTACATGTTTGCGGAACTTGCTGAACGGCAGCGTCAACTCCTTTGATGGCAGCCATGACAGGGTCGACGGAGGACGAAGCGGCCTTGCTGGCAGACGCGGTGACCAGCTCGGTAACCTCGTTCTGGAAGATGCTGAACTTGGCCTGCAACTCGCCGTGAATGAGGCCTTTGATATGTTCTTCCCAGCCATCCGAATCCATGAAGTCCTCTTCACCGTCACTTGATGCACCTCTGTTGGAGCGGGAGCGAGCGTCGTCATCGTCAGCAGCTGCAGGCTGTGCACCAGCACGCGCATCACTATCATCAGCACCACTGGCACCCCGTACGGGACGAGGCTTCTTCTTACGCTTGGCTCCATCTGGCATGAGCGAGACCTCGCGGGCGCCCAAGACTGCTCAGTCGCAGGGCGGCGACAGGCAGCAGCCACTGGGGGCGGACCCGTAGGCTGAGACAAAACTGTCGGGCAACGACGCCCTGGCACTGGCTGCGGACTAGCGGTATCCACGTGTTCCCCTGTGGAACAATCCATCTTGAGCCAAAATGGCTACGGCAAGAAGGCGGAGGAGGAGGAGGAGGAGAGCGAGGGCCAAGTTCGCGGCGAGGTGTGCTCCTTCCACTCGCCGCAGTCCCACGCGCGCACCGTGCCGTCGCTGCCGCAGGACAGCAGCCAGCCCGGCTGGCCGAAGGAGAGCCCCGCAACGCGGCCTGGCCGATATTGTCTCTCTCCCGCTCAGTGCCCAACCCGCCCCTCCCCGCACTTGTTGCCTCCAGAGTACAGTCCGACAGCATCCCTCCTGTTTTTCCTTCTCCCGCCTCTTCCTCCTCCTCTCCTCCTCCTCCTCCTCCTCCTCCTCCTCCTCCTCCTACTCCTTCTCCTCATCTGGACCCTCAACGCATGAGCTGAAAACAAACAGGCGGCAAGAGGGCGCCGGCCACTTCGCGAGAGAGCCGCGAACGGCGATGATTTGCGCCTCGTTGCACATGGGGTAGGAGGCGAGGGGCACGGGCGAAACTGGCGCTTCACGGGAGATGGAGGCCAAGGAAGTCGAGGAGGGGCGAGGGAGCCTCAAAGTCGAGGAGCGAGCAGACCACGGCGGACATACGAGGGCACATCAAACAGTGTCAGAGGCTGTCCTGCTTGTGGGGACAGCCGGAAACACACCGCGATTCAGACGATGTCAGCTGGAATCAAAAATCGGCACACCAGGTTTGATGTAAAGCTCTATACACAGCAGGACTCGCACACGTCCCACGGCCTTCACAGCGCTTTGGACAAGGGGGTACTGGATCCCTGAGTGGTATTCGCAGGCCTCTGGGAGAAGGCCCCAAATCCTACATCCCGGCGCAAAACCTGCGGCTGATTTCGCAACTCGTTCCTCCTAATCATTACCTTTCGCACCGAATCGTTCGCATGTGCTAACCGCCAACCTTGAAGCTGTCGACGCCCAGATGGGCCCTGCCAAGAGGAGGATGAGGTGGATGAGGAGATGAGGGACGAGAAGAAAGATGGGCGAAGGAGTGAGGATGAGGAGCTGGAGCTGCTGTCTATCCACTCAAACAACGGAGGACTCCTCCTCCTCCTCATCCGCGGGCTCTCCCTCCTCTTCCTACTCTCCCTCCGCATACGCCTCACCCTCCTCCTCTTCCTCCTCCTCCTCCTTTGGCTGCAGTCGCGGCCAGTCTTATGTCTAGCAACGTTGAAGAAATTTGTTATGACTACAAAGGAGTACTAGTGCTGCATCAAGGCACCGAGTACCCCCGTCGCAATCTGTAGAGTGGGTTTAAAATCTTGGCTGGCCGAGGGTTCTTTCCTTTAGGGTCGAGGCTCCAAAAGGTCAAAGCCCATCAAGATACACAAGCCCTACCCGTAGGCAGCGAGGCCCGTCGAATGGCGGAAGGTAATGACGCTGCGGATCGCTTAGCGAAGGCCGCAGCGCACAAGGGCGTTCAGCCCAGCGAAGATGAGAAGTGCAATTTTGCCGAAGATAGGAAGTTTGTTATGAAATATCTCAAGTACGTTGCTCAGGTTCTGGGAGAGTGGCCCGCGATTGCCCCCAGAAAGAACAAAGCTTTGACCGCCCCAGAGAAGAGCCTCTCCCCCCCCCACGGGTGCTGCCTCTGCCCTGACGTCGTGGACGCCGCCGTCGTTGGTCGTGCCTCCTCCACCCCCTCATCCGCCTGTGCCTCATGAGGCCTCTCGTGAGCCCAGAGTACCTAGCAGGATTCATGCGTGGGCTTTAATTGCGCAGTATCATCGGTGCATTCTGTGTAGGGTGCAGACGAAGTCAACCAAACAGAGAGCAGCGCTGGCGGCCAAGGAATGTCCAGGCCACTGCAAGCAGCTGTCAGACCTCGTGCATGATAATAAAAGGCCATGAATTATTTTGTTATGAGCACCTTGATCATCCCACGAGTATTCTGGTTTGCCATAAGTGTGGATCCTACTCTGAAGGGTTGGGTCGAGGGCTCACTGGAAACTGTGGCACTCGAGTGAGCCACCAAGGAGCGGCTACTCAACTCGCCCGTGTCCAAGAGGGTCGTGATCCCAAGGGTTCTAAGTCTTCCCCGATCATGTTTAAGACCCCCGCAATCCCCCTGGCCAGATTGGTGCGCGAAGAGCAGGCCAAGGTCAGCGAAGAGGAGGCACCAAGCCCTCCATAGTCAGCCGTGCTCTTTCACGGCGGACATCGAACACCCCATCAGCCATGTGCGTGTCCACCTCCTCCTCCTTTTCCTCCTCGTGTGTCAGCATCCTCATATTACTCCTGTTCCTCCTCCTCCTCCTCCTCCTCCTCCTCCTCCTCCTCCTCCTCCTCCTCCTCCTCCTCCCTCCGCCGCTCCCCTCTCAGCCTCCTCCTCATCCGAGGCGGAGGAGGCGACGACAACGACGGCGGCGACGGCAGCGGCGACGACGACGACGACAGGCCGGCGGCGGGGACGGCGACGCCGACTTCGGCGGCGGAGGCGACAACGACGGCCTTCGTGGCCGCAGAGCACCCGCTCGCACTCCCAGGTGTCGGCGCTCCTGGCGGGGGGGGGGAGAGGGGGTCTCTCTTCCCTCCTGCCCTCCCTCTTGCTTTCCGAGGCCGCTGAGCACACATGTGCTAGGCTGCTAAGCGAACTGACTGGGAAAGAAGGTGCCACGCTGCGCAAATACGCTTGCGCTGACCAGAGCAGCGGCTCAAAATCTCGCGGAAAACGTAAGGCGCGACGTCATCCAAGGCGACGCCATCTTCGGGAGCGGCCTAGAGGGGGGCGTCCAAGAGGCAGCGGCATGTGCGCGGCCCGGCGGGGGGGGCCAGGGACGCCATGAGATAAGAAGATGCGCCACGAAATCTGGAGAACTATCGTGGCCAACGCCATGATGTCCACCCCCCCTCTTGGCCGCCCCCGACGTCCGAGACCTCCCCTCTCCTAGGGGGCCACATGCGAACCCTACCCCTACCCCCCACGACTTCTGAGGGGGAGAGGGGGGTTCACTTCGCTCGGGGAGCGAAGTGAACCCCACGCTCCCCCTCAAAAGTCGTGGGGGGCAGGGGTAGGGTTGGCATGTGGCCCCCTAGGCGGCACAGCACTCCGGCGGGGTGAGGGGGGGGCATCGCAACTCTTGCGACGCTCTCGCCTTCATTCGCCGTGGTAAGAGAAATGGGCCAAGCTATTGTCACGGCGGTGTAGGAGCTCGACCACAAGAAATCTTCCGCAAGAAACCCAACCCTAAGACCCCAGGTCGTCCATTGATTTTTGGTGCGGGAACGTCACGCCTTCCATCGCAAAACCATCGAAACCCAAGAAACCCAGGGCACCCTGGAGGCAAGCAGGGTTTTTCTTGGCATGGGTTTCCACTGTAATACCCTCCGAGGGGAACAGACAGACGGGCGGACAGAGAGAGAGCCACCGAATCAGGCGAGCCTGCACCGGTGCTGGGATGGGTGGAACACCCACCAGGAACCCTCCCCCTTCCACCCCTCCCCCTCCCTCCGTCCCTCCGAGCCGTGGATGGCAATGCGAGCGCGTGTGGGCCCCTATCCGCAGACTAACACGTTCGGCACCCACTGAGCAATGCTTGCGGAAGATGTCGAGGCCAGCGTAATCGTTGGGCGTACAGCCAGTCAAGGGTGGCATGGCCAACCGTGCGGACTGTTCGAAGACCACAGCTTCAGACTCTGAACATACCTTCTCGGTGCAATCCATGGGGCGTACCTGGTCCGAGACCCCGGCAGACACCGCCAGGGAATCAATCTGGGTACAATCCCCTCCCCCCTCTAGACAGTTGCTCCTCTCTCTCTCTGATTCTGTGCGGAAGATCTCCAGCTCTCTCTGAGTATCGTCTTAACGCACAAGGTTTCCACAAATGTGTTATGTTGTGTTACTCGTGTTTCTTTAACGATCCCATTTCTGCCCGAGCTTCAAAATTGTGCTACCGCTGCAGCGTGGGCCTCATTGTTGGATCAACGCTGTGATCCCGTGGTTCAGAATGGCACTCTCGACCCAGCGCGGGCCACTTTTCTGGATCCGAGTCTTTTTCACTGTTGACGCCCATCTCATTTCCCCTCCTCTGCCTTCCCCTGGTCCTCCTGAATCTTCCACTCCTTCCACTCAAGTTCCTGAGGCTGCTGTTCGTATTCCTCTCCCTCTTGATCATCCTCCTGCTGTCCCACCACCGTCTCCTCCTCCTCCTCCTCCTCCTCCTCCTCCTCCTTCTCATCTTCCTTGGTACGATTGCAAACGATGGGGTGTTTGTCCGAGTCCCAGGTCGGTTGTGACACGCGTCCGCAGTTAGAGAACAAATCTGCGCAATGAGAAGGGATGGGAGAGAGGGATCGGATGTCAGATATGGCGCGAGCGCGCCTGGCGTGCCTCCCCCCCTCCCCGCCCCACCCCTGCTCCATCCTCCTGCCCCTCCCGCCTCCTCGCCCTATCCCCTCCCCCCCCCCCTGACCTCCCCGCCCTTTCCCCGTTCCCGCCAATCCCGCCTCCCGCGCGCACCATCCCCCCAATCTTCCCCCCCGCGCAACTCCCCCGCCCGATCCCTCACCCCGCCTCCTCCCCCCATCTCTCGCCCCATCACCCCCAGTCCCTCCCCCCGCGCGCGCGCGCCCCCGCGCACGCGCGGAAGAAGAGTGGGAGGCACTCGGCGGCGCACCCAAAAAGGGGCGGGGGCAAAGGCAGCGGCCATATTCCTCCTCCTCCTCCTCCTCCTCCTCGTTCCTCCTCCTCCTCCTCCTCTTCCTCCTCCCCGTCCTCCTCGCCTCCTCCTCCGCCTCTTCCTCATCCTCCTCCTCCGCCTCATCTTCCGCCTCATCGTCTTCCTCCTCCTCCTCCTCCTCCTCCTCCTCCGCATCCACATCCTGTCCTCCGCTTCTTCTCCCGCCTCCTCCTCTACCCCCGTCCTCTCCCTCCTCCTCCTCCTCCACCTCCTCCTCCCCCTCCTCCTCTCCCCCTCCCCCTCCTCCTCCTTCTCCTTCTCCTCCTCCTTCTCCTCCTCGTCCTCCTCCTCCTCCTCGTCCTCCTCCTCCTCCTACTCATCTGCTCCTCATCATCTCCTCCTCCTCATCATCATCCTCATCATCCTCATTCTCCTGACCCTCCTCCTGATCCTCCTCCTCCTCCTCCTCCTGCTCCTCCTCCGCCTCCTCCTCCTCCTCCTCATCTCCTCCTCCTCCTCCTCCTCCTCCTCCTCCTCATCATCATCATCATCATCAGCATCCTCATCATTATCATACTAATCCTCGTCACCCTCGTCATCCTTGTCGTCATCATCATCATCATCATCATCATCATCATCATCATCATCATCATCATCATCATCATCATCAGCATCATCATCATCATCCTTAACAGTATCATCATCAGCATCATCATTATGGTCATCATCATCATCATCATCGTCGTCATCATCATCAGCATCATCAGCATTATCATCATACTCGTCGTCATCATCATCATCATCATCAGTGTCGTCGTCATCATCATCATCAGCAGCAGCAGTATCGTCAGCATCGTCAGCATCAACATCACCAGCATCAGCATCATCACCATCATCGCCATCGCCGGCATCGTCATCATCATCAGCAGCAGCATCATCATCATCATCATCAGCAGCATCGTCAGCATTCCCCGCTTCCTCCTCCTCCCCATCATCAGCAGCATCAGCATCAACATCAGCAGCATCATCATCACCACCATCATCAACATCATCAACATCATCACCAACATGAACATCAACATCAACATCAATATCGTTATCAACATCATCATCATCATCACCAGCATCAGTACCATCCGGTTTGCAACCTCATATCCATCCACATCTGCATCATCAACATCATCAACATCATCATCAACATCATCATCACCAGTACCGTCATCATCATCATCATCATCATCATCATCATCATCATCATCATCATCATCATCATAATCGTCATCATCCACATCATTAGCATCATCGTCATCATCATCAGCATCATGTTCATCATAACCATCACCGACAACATCGTCATCGTCATCAACATCATCAGCATCATCAGCATCAGCATCAGCATCAGCATCAGTATCAGTATCGTCCTCCTCCTCCTCCTCCTTCTCCTCCGCCTCCTCTTCCTCCTCCTCCTCCTCCTCGTCCTCGTCCCTTTTCAATTGTCCAGTGCGAGTTGGTTCGGACCAGTTTCAGATTCCCCCCAGGGCCTCGCCCACCCTGGTGCGGCGTATGTGGGCTGCATCATGGTTCTTGCAAAAAATCATCCTCCTCCGCCTCCTCCTCATCTGCCGCCTCCTCCTTCTTCTCCTCCTCCTCCTCCTCCGCCTCCGCCTCCTCTGCCTCCTCCTCCTCCTCCTGATCCTGCTCCTCCTCCGCTCCTTCTTCTGCTCCTGCTCCTGCTCCTCCTCCTCCTCCTCTTCCTCCTTCTCTCCTCCCCCCTCCTCCGCCTCCTCCTCCTCCTCCTTCGCCGCCTCCCCTTCGCCGCCTCCTCCTCCGCCTCCCCCCTCCTCCTCCTCCTCCTCCTCCTCCTCCTCCTTCTCCGCCTCATCCGCCTGATCCTCCTCCGCCTCCTCATGCTCCTGCTCCTCCTCCTGCTCCTGCTCCTCCTCCTCATCCTCCTCCTCAACCTTCTCCTGCTCCTCCTCCCCTCCTCTCCCTCCCCCTCCGCCTCCTCGTCATCCTCCTTCTCCTCGTCCTCCTCCTCCGCCTCCGCCTCCGCACCCGCCTCCTCCGTCTCCTCCGTCTCCTCTCCGGCTCCTCCTTCTCCTCCTCCTCCTCCTCGTCCTCCCCCCTCCAATTAAGGAAAGGGAAACAGAGAATGCTGATGCGAATGAGGAAGAAGAAGGTAGTGGAGACCGAGCCTCGATCCCATCATCGTCATCATCATCATCATCATCATCATCATCATCATCATCAGCATCATCATCAACAGCATCAGCATCAACATTAGCATCATCATCATCATCAGCAACATCAACATCATCATCATCATCATCATCATCATCATCATCATCCGCAGAAGCAGCAGCATCATCAGCAGCAGCAACAGCATCATCATATTCATCATCATCAGCATCATCATCACCATCATCATGATCGTCATCACCATCACCATCATCATCATCATCACCATCATCCCCATCATCATCGTCATCATCATCATCATCATCATAGTCATCATCATCATCAGCACCATCATCATCAGCAACATCATCATCAATAGCATCATAATCATCAGCAGCATCATCCGCATCATCAGCAGCATCATCACCATCACCATCACCATCACCATCATCATCACCATCATAATCATAATCATCATCATCACGATCATCACCATCAACGTTACCATCACCACCACCATGACATGACTATGACCATCAACATCACAACCATCACCATCATCATCACCATCACCATCATAATCGTCATCAACATCATCATCATCATCACCATCGCCATCACCATCACCGTCATGATCCCCATCATCATCATAATCAGCATCATCACCATCACCACCATCATATTCATCATCATCACCATGA